CCCGCAGTAGTCGAAATTCGACTATAATTAATTGGTATTATAAGTTTGTAAACTAATATGATTGTATTTTATACTTCTATAATCACAAATTTCGCCAAGGCTACACTATAATTTTTTTTTAATAAAGACAAACAATATTTAATCTATTCTCAATTTGACCACAGACGTCAAGAACAAAAGTTTGACAATAAATATATAGTATGCATGCGTGTGTGCGTCAAATACATGGTATGTAGTGTGTGTAATGTTTTCTTTATCGATTTAATGTATCTTTTATGCATTATTTTAAAAAAAATTTCAGCATTGTGCACTTCTCTATATTCCCTATAAGTGTGGAAAATTTCATACTCCTCCGTCCGCGCAATTTTCGTAGAAAGGGATACAAAGTTTTTGCTTCACGTATTATTATATAGGTTTAATTTCCAACAAAATGGCTTCGTAACGCGTATTGATTCAGATGTTTCTAAAAATCAACAGGTCATTTTAAGTGGTAGTATAGTATTTAATGAATAGTGAACTGGATAAATTCAAAGGTAGCACAATAAAAAATAGTCACCTTATGATCAACATCTCGGTCCTACATCAGCTTAAAATGGAGAACGCTCAACGCCTGTCTACCACCTGTCTGCAACGCATAATGCGCTACTTTGGCCACGTTGCCCGCAGAGGTGTGGACAACTTGGAACGTCTGATGGTTACTGGGAAAGTAGAAGGAAAACGTCCTAGAGGCCGGAGCCCCAAACGTTGGTCCGACCAGATCTCCGAGCAAGCCAGCGGACCACTTAGCGCTGCACTACACCAGGCAACTGACCGGAACCGATGGAGGCTGACAGTCGACAAGCTAAAACGGAGTCACGATCCTCAGCAATGAGGGAGCGATGGAGAAGAAGAAGAAGAATGATCAACGCCATCTCTCGACTGTAGTATTTACATAGTAGATACCAACGTTAAATACGTCACGCTAGATGACGCTTTGCTCTTTTAAAATAGTTCATAGCAAGTCGCAATAACCTCTGAGCGATGTCAATGTCATGGGCGAGGTTTGTCTGGGCAGCTTCCACATCTACCGACGTAAATTTACAAAAAAAAATATCTGCAAATATTACGTAATTGTGGTTCATCAATCATATGTGTTGGCGCTCACTCAAAAATTTCCACTGTTCACGATAGAAAACTGGCAGCACGATTTCAGGTGTTTAATATATTTTTAGAATATTAAAAACAAGCCACTTCGTCCTTTAGCTTAATCATTAACATAATCAGTCAATGTTGTTTCCTTTCTTTTGTCGTTCAAGGGTGTGCTTAGTGCGAGTCTCGATAGCGTAAAAGGTAGGTAACTCAAATTTGTATCGAGTTGGAACGTTTGCCTACGTTTGCCGCTAGGGGCGCTGTTCCAACTGCATACCAATTTTAATTAACTTTTACGCTATCGAGAACGTTAAAAAACTCGCACTACGCACACAGATTTGATGCGACAAACTTTATAGATAAAATAAAAAATAAAAAAAGCCTTTTATTTCGTACAAGTGACATAAAAACAAAAATGAACACAATGTGATCTATGCTATTAATTAACTAATAAATAATATGTTCGTTGAATAATATTAGGTATTATTTCCCACTTGCAAGAACCCCTCCTCGGGTAAAGGCCTCTTCAAAGGATAGCCAATCTTCTCTAGATTGTGCAATTTGAACCCGGTTTGTAGTTGCTACTTTCTTTATATCGTTTTCCCATTTAGTATATGGTCTTCCTCTCTTTCTTTTTCCTAGTGGGCCGGTCCATATTATTACTTTTTACCCATTTCCATTTTAAAGTTAGGCTTGAACTAGTACATCAGTTGCTTTGCTAATTTTTCTGATTTTTTTGTGACGGATTTTCTGAATTTTCTTTAAATTTAGGATACTACGTTCCATACCTCTTTGGCATATGGCATGACAAACATTATATAATACAATTGTGATAATAAGAGGCTTTTTTCACCCTATATAGTATTGTTTTTATTCACAATGATATATCCAAGATACAGGCCGTCTAGTTCGAGAATCTTACTCCTTTTATCGATAACATTAAATAATAATAGATTTCATACGGAAGGCGATATTCACGTTCTAACCATTCAACACCACTTGGATTCCAGACTAAGTTCACCAGTCTATTAGAATGAAAACAAATAAAAATCTTCCCTTAAAACACAAAATCGAAACGAGAAGATTATTTTAGAAACGTTAATATTAAAACTTCACTTTCGTCATTGAAATATCTCACGCGTAATTATGCGGGGATCAATTAAACCCGTGTGCTTATAATAATATATAACCTGGCAAAGTTTAATGATCTAAGGACAAACTGAGGGTCATATTGTTTAGGGGTCGTTTTCTTTCGACGGTTTTTTATTGTTAACAACCGCCATTGCTGCGACAAATCGAAATGTCAGAAATGACAGTAGAATGCGCGGGAAATAAGAAGTTCAAATGAATCATTTGCGAAATTGTACATTAAGCCGTTTTGCATAATGCGATTAACGACGCAAACTTCTTACGTAAGTAATTTTGTAATTAGTTTTTATAACCTTTGCGACCAAACGCCTTTCATTGTTTTCGATTTCCCATTATATTTGTTATTCAGGATAGTTATAATATGCGTTCAGTAATTAGTAAAAAACATATTATACTGTATCGTCGTCTATCGCATATGATGCTATCACTAAATTTATTATAATTGAACCTAATTTTAAAGCAGAAACTTTAACAATTAATCTCATGTTCTTCAATTTAAGTTGCCTAAAAGTGCTGTAAGCTGATGTGCCCTCTTAATAATATCAGCGGAAAAACGATACTAGATTTTCTTTGACCTACTGCAGTATTCACGAAATATCGACAATTAACAAAAACGAATCCAATTTTTTTTTCTTCCATGTGTGGACAAGCTCACCAGCTCACCTGGTATTAAGAGGTTACCGAAGCCCATAGACATTTACAACGTAAATGCTGCCACCCACCTTGATACACGAGTTCTAGGACTCAGTTTTTACAGTACAACGATTGCCCCCTACCCTTCAAACCGAAACGCATCACTGCTTCCCTACCACCCTGCCTACAACGAAATTACTTAGACTTTCCTATCACGGACGGAAACTGTAATCATTGAGATCAATTTCGACTCCACTGGCATATTTAACTCGATTCTAAAACCCGGAAGCGAACACATGTTCGCTTCGCAATAAGAACAGACTGGTTATACCAAATCAATAGCATCAGCCCTATGGTTTGATTCATATCCGCGACTCCTGTATTCAATTTCCAAATAATTGAGATTGCAGTAGCTGTCACAAAATGGGGTTCATACATCCATGGCTATTTAAAAAGTACGAACATCTTGGAACAAAGCAAGTGGTCTAATGGACCAAGGCAATAATATACTTTTCCTAATATTTTTTTTAATTGCTTATATGGATCGACGAGGTCACGGCTCATCTGGTGTTAAGTGGTTACTGGAGCCCATAGACATCTCGAACGTAAATGCGCCACCCACCTTAAGATATAAGTTCTAAGGTCTCAGTATAGTTACAACGACTGCCCCTCCTTTCAAACCGAAACGCATTACTGCTTCACGGCAGAAATAGCCGGGTGGTGGTACCTACCCGTGCGGACTCACAACAGGTCCTATCACCAGCATAAAGTAGTTTTTCGTACTAATACAAATTCATAGTTTAAATGCGTATTATGGACTCTCTCTGGTGATTAGCGCACCCAAACGCGGGGAAAAGGCTGTGTCATTGTCAATTCTGGTCTCTCGTGAAGATAATTATTCAATTTTAAAATGAAATGTGTATGAAGGAAGCGAGATATAAACGCATATGAACGGAAGCGTACATAAATGGAACTTGTTACGACAATTTTAAACTATTCAACATTAATCATAGCGAATATCACGACAGTAAAAAAGAGCACCGATTTTCTTTAAGCGAATAATTGTAAATAGACATGCTTTAACAAAAACCGACTTCAAATAGAAACAAAAAAGGATATTCCCAAACAAATTAATATACACTAAAAACAATAATCATCGGAATTGGTTGGCGTGATATTGAGTTATTTATATATTTGTAGCGCACGTACTTAATGAAAATTTAACTTATATAGTTTTCTCATGGATACCATTATCGTAACTGGATGTAACGGGAAGCGTCAGCTTTCTAATAAAAAAAGAATCATCAAAATCGATTCACCCGGTCAAAGGTATGAGGTAACAAACATAAAAAAAACATACAGTCGAATTGAGAACCTCCACCTTTTTTGAAGTCGGTTAAAAATAAATTTAGATCGCGATTTGGAGCTTACAATAAATGTCACTCTGCCTGCTCAATTACAATTAGCGGTCGTGAGGTTTCAGCACTGATTCAACAATTAAAATTAGATCAAGATCGATGATACAAAACGTCGCATGGGATATTATAAATTTCACTATGCAAATTGCGCTCCAATGAATCAAATCGTCCGTCAACCTAGAAAAACTTTGCAGCTAGCCAGGTCTGTCTGAATCCTGTAATTGGCAGTGTGTGTGTGTATCTACCACGTTAATTTTTTTTATTGCCTTTGAAGCCATACGACCCACGACGAGCATACGGCCCACCTGATGGTAAGTGGTAACCGTCGCTCCTGGACCTCATCACGCCAAGGGAAGAGCCAAGCGACTGCCTATATTAAGTTCTTTTCGCAAGCCTCCTTTGAAGAAGGACACATCATATTTGACCGTTTCTCGGAAGTCGATAGAAATTTAAAATACTACAAAAACACCAGTACCAGACTAATACCAGTTTTAGGTGTTTGGAAAAAATTAGTTGCCGTTGCGAATTTTTTCGTCAGACAAAAGCTACCTATATCGCGAACGTAACGTGCATGTGTACTATACAATATCAAGGGTAAACAATTCGTGCCAAGTTATTTACGACGAAGCCGCCTCAAGATCACGGCGAATAGGAACACAAAAATAAACTTACCCTGCGTTGTAAATAAAAAACACGAACCACAAATTAGATTATTCCTTGACAATGATTAACTTCGCGGTCGCTGTTCTTTTAATGGACGCGTCCGTCTCGTACCGAGGTCGGATATCAACTGAGCGGTTTGACAATTGTAATTTCAACGCACACACGGCCCGTACGTATGAAAGTGACGTGTATACATAGTGAGTTTCATGTGTGTGCGTGTTTGAATGACGCGCGTTCAAGATTGCGTTTACCTGTGGCTTGTTTCAATCAGGATTTTAGCATATTTTTTATTGTCATTTAAGCAAGTCTGTTCTGTGAAGGCAAAGTTAGAATTATTTATAGCGTTGGCCCAATTTTTCCGGGTAGGGAGTTTGTTAGAGAGCTTTTTTTTTATTGCCCATGTAGGCAGACGAGCATACGGCCCACCTGATGACAGTGAGTGGTTACCGTCGCCCATGGACTTCAGCAATGCCAAGGGTAGAGCCAAGCCGCTGCCTACCGTACGCTTGTAAGTGTCAAAAAAATATCCAGTAAGCCAGTATTTTCAGTATTTATTAGAAATTAATTCCAATTGGGAATGTAGATTGATTGATTGAGTTTGTTTCGCTGGAACTTCTCAAGACTCTATCTCTCTTTGGTATCTGTTGTAAAGTTTACATTCAATAACTTTGTTAAATGACGGTTGATTTTAGATAAATGCTTTTGAGTTAACCTGGTTCACTCTCCGAACTTCGTAGAGTGAACAACTAAAATTATAATTTTCGTTCAATAAAACGGTTTTCTTTCCAATTCATATAGAAGAGGTTTCTATTAAAAAAAAAAATAGAACTAAAATTTATTTTCACGTTTTTATATATTAATTTACATTTTTTTCAAATTTGGTTGCAATCAACTCATGATGTAGAAAACAGTATTGTATAAAAACTCTCAATATAAAAATATACTAATTTAGACTTAGAGAATTTTGTGAACAAAATCAAGAACGGTCTTTATTACATTACTAGCGGCCCGCTCCGGCTCCGTTCGGCTCTTTAACAAAAATTTCAACGATATTTGACATAGTTTTTTTTAAATAAAAGAACACTTATTGCGGCACAACTATAATAGTTAGACACATACTGTCGCGACCCTTTTTGTAAATAATAATGTGTTCTACAAAATCCTAGTACATTATTTTATTCTATCATCAATAGTTTTCGCAGGGCACGCGATGTAAAGAATATTTTAGGTAATTTTTTTGCACTTTGGGTTACATTATTGGAGTTTTAGTAAGGATCCCTAATTTTTTTCAAAAAATATTATAGCCTATGTCACTCGGGAATAGAATAGCTTCCAAACAGTAAAATAATTTTTCAAATCGCTTCAGTAGTTTCGGAGCCTATTCAATACAAACAAACAAACAAATCTTTCCTCTTTATAATATTATTAGTATATTTATTTATTTATTTAATACAAGGAGAACCAACAGCCAACTAACAAAGTAAAATAATATAACAAATAATAGAAACAAAAAGCCAATTAAAGGTTCTCACCAATATATATAGAAGTATGTATATAGAAGTGTATATAGAAGTATAGATGGAACTTCTATATGTAGAGATATTACTCTACATTTTTTTAAGTAGAATAAAAGTCTTCGCCAGAGTCAAAGTTGTAATTTAATAATAAACACTAAAAGTTTCTCAGCTTTCGCAAACAGAATTTTTTCCCGAATCTCTAATTCAATACGCGTACTTGAATTTATTTCTGTAAGTCCTTTGGGACTAAGTTGAACGAACTCGACAATTATTTCAGTGATTTTATTTCTTGGCAGCATTTTGAAAATATTTTATAAGTACATAAATATATACAACGGTATTAACTTTTACTTTTCAGTTTATGAATTGCAATGCATTGTACTGCTTTACCTACGTAATGAGAAAAACATCGAGCCAAATGGGTTTTATTCAATTTTAAAATACAACTAAAAATACATATTAGATATCTGTTGCATTGCTGTGAGGAATTGTTTTATTGCCCGTACAGACAGACGAGCATACGGCCCATCTGATGATGAGTGGTTAACATCGCTCATGGACATCAGCAATGGCAGGGTCGGAGCCAAGCAGCTGCCTCAGTACAGCTTCCGTACTTATAGTCTCTATACAAAAACCATGATGAATCCTACATTCGTGTTTCAGTAGATCTATTGGTATATTCGGGTCAACTTATCGAATTCTACTCTTAAAAGCCTTTAAGCTTCTTCTACTCTAATTGTTAGGGAAATATTTATTGAGAAATACAGATTATTACATTAAATTATAATTCAAGAATTGAATACACACGCGCAGTGTGCGTTTCAGGTGGTCCGAATGAAAAATACCTTTTTTTTTAACTCGCACAGCGACACGCGAGACAAAGGGCACTGGAGCCATACGGCTTTAATGTTGTTTTTCATAAACACTAACATTACATAGATGTTTATTTAGGATAATATACCTACCTTCTTCGATTAGCGCGAACCGTAGACAAGATAAGTATTACTTTTACGGTTTAATTATCCGTCCTGGTGAAACCTGGTTCGACTTTGGTTAGTTTTGACAAAAATCACTTGCACGATAGTACGAGTCGTGACGTCACTGCATCGAAAGACTCTCGTCGACCAATCAGGGACGAATCGCAGCACGCAAGAACGTTAGTAGTCGTTTTTTTTTTTACTTTTTTCTAAGACTGACTTTTAGTTAGACGAATGATATTTACTATCCGTCAGTTCTATTCAGAGATTTAAGTTACATTTTTTTGGGAACGTTCTTCGGAACCACTTATAAGCTATGATAAGATTTGGACATACTTATTTAATAAGTGTGACATGTTACTATTTTTTTATTCATTTCTTGGTGTCCCCCATTGAGAAAAGAGATCGAAATCGAGTTTATTTAAGTCATGAGTTGAAATTAGACAATTGTTTTGAGATTATCAATAAAATTACAACAAATCTGATCTTTTAAGGGATTTTATGACCTGGTAACTAAGACCTTTAAGTCATATCTTATTTTAATTATTATATTCTTATTTTTATAAAAAATTATAGTATAGAGTGAAATGAAAAGAAGATGATTAATTTGAGATCAACTGGGATGAAATGAGATGAGATCAACAAATCTGACATTTGAGTCAAACACAGAGTAACTAAAAATATAGACCAAGGATCCGTTTCAATAAAGCCAATAATTACGACATTTGAATACAAGCAATAGACAAACACTTTTAATTAAAATTATTAGTAATTCAAGATTATTTTCTGTAATCTGTTACCATATACTCCGAATTGGAATCAAAGAAATTTAAAAAATAAGCAATGCCGATTAATATTTCTCTCTTCTCTTTATCTATATTACGGTTATAAGCGATGTCTGGAAGTGATAAAATCCAGTACACTTTTAAATCATAGCTGTGCACTAATTAATAAAATAGTACAGCTATCATAAATTAATGCACAGCAAACTGTACCATATTGTTATTCAGATAGCGTTTCAATTGAATGTTAACATAGTTGATCTATTCGGTATTTTACTCGCACTTTAATTGACACTTAATTCTAATAAAATGACAATCGATTTTCATTACATCGATCTTTTAACATTCGTCCAACCATTATTGTTCGCGTCGTGTTTCAATTTGCAATGATTTCGGCGCCGTCAAGATGATTTCCGTACACGCCAATTAGGTACGTTCCATCGATTAAGGTTGTGTTCACACGGCATTGTCCTGTACGTTTATCTGCAGTATGCGTCTTATTTTTTTTCTCCTACTTATGCTGATAGCCTTCAGAGGCTATATCAGCTTCTCCTTGACGTGTAGGTGAGCTCACGAGCTCAAACCGAATATGCTGCTAACATTGGCCCTAGCAAGACCAGTGCTTCGCAGAATCTACCACCGGATGGGAAACGCGACCCACTGAGAAGATCCGGCGAGAAACTCAGTGGGCTGTGTCTATGGGTTAATTCACTCGACGAGCCCTTCGTCGCAAGCGATGGGTTCGACGAGGACGATGACCGGTGCTTGTGGTACCTAAAAGCAACGTTAATGGATCGGGAGGATCCGTAATGACGTGTTTAGGGCGACGTCGACTGTTTACCATTCGCTCTACAGGATCGGGTATGATGCGTCTTAACGAATAAATAGTGGCACATACAATAGAACCATTCACATGTCGTATCGTACACCGCTTAGGCGTTTAAACGAATACTCACCGGACTATTCTGCCGTGAAGCAGTAATGCGTTTCGGTTTGAAGGGTGGGGCAGCCGTTGTAACTATACTTGAGACCTTAGAACTTATATCTCAAGGTGGGTGGCGCATTTTACGTCGTGGATGTCTATGGGCTCCAGTAACCACTTACACCAGGTGGGCTGAGAGCTTGTCCACCCATCCAAGCAATAAAAAAAAAACTTGTCAAGCAAATCGAATGAACTTTAACGTTGTAGTGGCGTATAGTAATACTATGATAATATAGCTCTGTCTCGTTCGTTTTTGCACACAGGGCCCTGAAACTGCGATACTTTAAGACAAATATTTTTTTGTATGGAAACTAGCGACATCTTGTAGCGGATGCCCCTAAACTTATATGTTGTTAAAGTTAAGGCATTTAATTATTGTATTGTAAAACACAAAAAATAAAAAGTTAATAAATCATAAAAGTCTTTATTTGTCATACACAAATTGATTAAATTTTATAAATTTGTGGTTTCATTAAAAATAAAATATACTAGAAAGTAATCGAAGCAAAGCCATCTAGTGGCCGACGCCCGTAAGCATTTTTGTTGAGTACTTGAGTTGCTAATCCATAACTAATTTATGTGTATTATCTATGTTTACACGAATGAAAATCTACGATATTATTGTACGTTAAAATACCGAATACAAAGAAAACGTGCAGGACAATGCCGTGTGAACCCAACCTTAGTTAGATTGAGCGAACAACGGTCTCTTAATATAATTTATTTTCGATCGTCACAACCATTGTTTGTGGAAAAAACTTATGTTTTATGAGTAGTTGTAGCTCTATTTTTCCAAATGGAATGGCAAACGTATCATACCATACAGCCTAATCTTTTATTTATTTTTTATTATGAAAAATGA